TAAAATTCTTTCACGGGGTGTCGGCGCGAAAGGCCTTCGCGGCGTGCGGATTCAGTCCACAAATCCCAAAATAAACTAAAAATAAGCATCGCCATAACAAAAAACTTGAGCCATTATTGGAGTTATGCAAGTTTTGATTTATGCGTAGCCTCCAGAGACTTCCCTCATTCATTGTTGGCGCATTCCAGTTAGCGGTGAGTCTTCCTCATCTGACGCAAAGGCGAGCTGATAGTTCTAGGCCTTAATGGGATTTTTACAACTATTGAGACTTTTCCTGCATGTGATGAGATGTTTGCGAGGTTAACTCTCAATGTCCCTCACTCTACATGCTCTGACGAAGGCGACTAGGCCGAAAATAAATGCTATAATGATCTTGGTCTTAGCTCGGCCACTGAGACAACTGATATGCCAAGATTCATCAAAAGTCGAAAGTGGAACGGCAAATTGTATTGTAATCTTCACATACATTATGGTTGAGTAAACTTACTAATCAACTGATTGTTTGCATCGTCAGAGGAAAAGGAAAGATTTACAGTTTTAAGTGAAAATTGAATTTCAAACTGAGATTAAATCGGAAGTTCCTTGAATAAATTATTCGAAGACTTGAAATCATACAACGAAGTAGCTTTCAAAGCAGTGGGGAAGCCAACTTTAGAGATAATTTTCGAATTCCATTTCCTCTTTGGTATTAGGGTGTACGGTAAAAATTGGGACAGCTTGATTTTTTTTTACATTTTGAGGTTTTTTGTTCTCACCAACAACTCCATTTATTTGGGTTAGGTCAGTCTGGTAGTTCGTGCCGTTTTTCAGACCTATGCTCAAACCACTCAGAATAATGATAGAGAAAAGTTCAAACAGTATCCGGTGCAGAATCTCTTCCTCTCTCTAATGGCTATGTCTTTGTTCAAATTCCCTTGACGCCCGCTCAAAGAATCGTCAGAATCTTTAAGTGGGTTTTCACCCACCCTGAGTTCGGCTATTTTTTCCTATATTTCCATTCAGAAATTTTGGACTAACCTTGATGTAGTCGGATAAAGTAAACAAAACGCAATATAAGACATTTTTGGCATCTTTAGCAGGTTTCTCAAAATTTTTGACAATATTTTCTAATGCTATCAAATTCTATATTTGGGCATCCCAACTCCTCACAGAACAATGAACAGCGAGCAACAGAGGTGCCATTGAAGCAGCTTATCCTCCTCTTCCTGTTAGAGTTCATTCCTTCCTGACTTGTATAACATACAAGGATAAAATCATCAAAATTCTTGTTTCAAGACTCGTCCCTGGCTGTGCTTAGGAATTCGGAATCCAATGTTCCGAACCGCTAAAGCTCAACTGGCTAAAATCAGCGTTAAGTGATGAGCTGTTTTTGCCTCAAACTCGAAAGAACCGACGTCTGTAGCGATTGTGTATTTCACAACTTTGCAGATGTAAAGGCTTCCGGAAAAATGTTCAGGGCAAAACTGAAATAGTTAGAGTGGCCAAAAGTTCATCGTATTGCATTTTGTTTGTACTATCCAACTCTTACCAAAGCTAGTCCAAGAGTCTAAAGTGGAAATTTCTAAAAATACCCAAACTCGGGGGTGGTTAAAAATTATGGGTTGGAGATTCTGACGACTATTTGAGCGAACATCAAAGGAATCTGAACAGAAACACAGCCGTTAGAAAGAGGAAAAAATTCTGCATCAAACACTGTTAGCGCATTTGTCTATTTTGTCCATCGTTATTCTAAGAGGTTTGAGAATGGATCTGAAAAACGGTAAAAACTTTCGGACCAAGCCGATATTTTTCTTCTATTCAAACGGCGAGTGGCACTGGGGAACTGCAGACTCAGAAATGTTTTCTTTTTTTCCTCGTTTTTTTTACGTTTCTTAGGCGGGCAATTGGTGGATATAGGTTGTCGCATAGATATTCAATGAAATCAAGATAACTCATTCGAAAAACATTCTGCAAGCAGCAAACGTTTGGCTAATAGCATATACTTTTGTAGAACCACAGCCATTACGAGAAAGAGTTTCTGCCCGAACTCAAAAAAAAAAACTCTGAAAACTACTTTGATAGAGCATACTTACCCTTAGATCTACCAAGACTTGCTTTGCTCATTGTAAAGCCAATGACTGATTTAGCGCTTCGTGAAATTTTGGCTACGAAAATTTTTGTCAGGTTTTCATTTCAAAAAATTGAAAGTACCCACTTTTCATGATTTAGAAGAAGCAAAAAACTGCCTTTTTATGAAATTCTGATTTTTCCTTCCTAGAAAATGGAAAAAGCCTGCCGTTTTTCTAATCCGTACCAGGTCTACACTAGCTGAGCAGAGCGAAAACCACAGTCGCTTTTTCCAAAATTTTTACATAGGACCGAAAAGCCTTAGCGAAGAGCCAAGTTTGAATCTAAGTTTCTCAGTTCAAAATTTTTTCAAAAATTTAACACCAATAAACATTCTGTGGCACAAAACTCCGAAAACATTAACATAATTTTTAAACCAAATTCGACTATTTTGCACGGATAAAGAGCCGGAAGAGTGGTAGAAAAAGTTTGGGTTTTTTCCCCTCTTATAACAGCACGAAACTGAGGTAACAGGTTTGCGAAAACAAAAGCACACGTTAGAAATAATCAGAGAATTACCTAGCGTGAAAAGTTTCCATGAAAAATGGTTGCACTGTGAAATCAGCTTTCGAAACAGGAGGTTTAAAAAAAGTGCACTAAATGAGGCATCCTACTACATTATTTGTTTTTTCACAAAGAGAGAAATGATATTACTAGTGAGAAAATCTTATTAAAAGCAGACTAGGAATTTTTCTAGCGAATAAAAGCTGCTAAAACTATGAGCGATTCCACAAAGTGAAAGAACTTTGTAGAGATGAAAAAATGCAGAAGAAAAAATGCGTTTCTCCAAAATAGCTACGAGAAACAACAGTGCACGAACACATAGAGTCTACGAATCGATGCGCAGACTTGTACGATATTCTTGGCATCTGTAATGGTCACATAGTGACCTGGTTACAACGAGTGTTGATATTAGCAAGGTCACTCGAGACTGCACAGCAAGACTACCAAATATATGCAGTGATAACACAGGATCATTGGGTACAATACCTTACCAGCAGTTCTGTATTGCTATGCTCAACGCGTGCAGTCCTCTTAATTTTACTAGTAGAGTGTGATTGCATTGATATTGAAAGGAATGTCATGGAGAAGATTGGCGATGCTACAATCAGCCTGACTAGATCAGCAGAAAAAATTTGCACGAGTTGAAAAAAGCCTCGTAATCTAACTTCAGTAAAAATTCAAGAGCAGTGCTGTCACACCAATCAACTGACAAATGAGGACGAGTGTATTGTGAAAAGAAGGACTGTTGTATAGATTTGGATAGGTTTCTTTGCTAATGTGTGCAACTGCACAATTTCCCAGGTTGATGTTGCTGTAGGACCCGGTATTGTTTTCCATGTTTTTTTTAAATGTTTTCCGGTTGTATGAGGTCCAATTGACTGAAATGTGATCACAAGTCATGAAATTATTATGTCTCATTCCTTAGAAAAGGTGCAATTGCACACATTGGCAACTAAACCTACTTGACTTCAATTGGAATAAGAGATTCCAAACAATAACATGAAAACTGTTGTTGATTGTAATGAACCGTGAATATAGAATTACTTCTGGAAGAATTCCTTCGCAAGTAACCAGATATACTATCTCAAGTGGCAACCCCATTTCAACAGAAAGCTTCATTGGCGCAAAATCTATTAGTAGATTGTCCCGAAATTCTTCCGTCTTTCGAAGGGCTATAAAACCTTGTATGATGAAATTTTGGATGCGTTTCAGACTTGCGATGCAGCTTTTTTTCTCCTTCCTATTGTTAATCTTCTTAATGCTTCTTGATAACTGCCAAACTTCACTCGTCACTTCCACTTCTTCAAAGTTTGGATAAATTTTGAAAATTTTATAGCAGATTTACGGAAAATAGTAAGCGTGATATAAGCAGAGCAGTTCCCGGAATGTACGTATGTTTTTTATGATTCTTCTGATGTTTGTAACTTGAAAAGATTATCTCTTTAAAGACCTCGATTCATGATACAAAGAATTGCAACAAACTTGAAAACTTCTGAAGTTTTTGTAAGTTAAGAGTTAAAACTTGATTTTTATTCATTTTTTGTGCAAATAATCAAAATTGATTGCCTCGAATATTCAGCTTTTACTATGCACGGCGCGTGCTTAAGAAGCCATAGTTATTCCCAAATAAACAATTATTACAGTATTCAGAAAATTGACCTACGTCGAAGATAAGTATGATATAGTCAAAGTTTACTCTACAAAACAACCACCGTCTGAAAGATCGTCTAAAATTTTTCAAAATTTGAGAAAATTTGACGTCACTGCCAAAATGCTCAAAGAGCCCTAGCGATAACATCGCAGCTACTGCATATATCAAGAGAAAATGAAACCGTTAGAAAGACGATATTTTGAAATGAATGGTACCTAAGTCGTTGATTGACCAATGTTTTGTAAGTTTTAGCGACCGATCAAAAAAAACGGACAAAACGATGGAGACAACCTAATATTTTTAGCGGAAGCTGTGAATGAAAAGGAAATAATGAAATCAAAAATTTTTTCTAGTCTGCTGAATTCTCTTTCATAGCGATGAATATCATATCGATGAGATTAAGAACTTCTCGTTATGCTATTGCAAGTAGCAGAAATGCTATACTTTGCAGCATTTTCCTCAAACTATCATTAGTAATTGCGCGTGAAGGATCAAATAACGCTATAGGATAAGTGAACTGCTTTGAAGTCATAATTCTCGAGTGATTCAAAGGATAAGAAGAATAAAAAAGTAGAAAGTGAAATCAATAAGCCCAACGGAACCACTTTTTGGATCATGTGTACTCTGATTATAACCAACAATTACAGTGTCATTTTATATGGATCCAAAGTATACTGAGGAAGTGAAACCAAAAACTATGCGAGAGTAGCTCAACGGCCGCTGTTAAATAAATGCTTACTTCTTATCAGTGTTAAGCAAGATGCGATTGGAACTGAAAAAAAAGTGCACATTTGAACGGAGCGTTGATTGGTGTCATGATTCTGGCAGGCATCGAGCTCACATCGATTTTTATCGCTGTGTGTGGCCGGCCCCAAAGATCGAAGGTTGGCTAGGCCAGCAGACAACGACCTTCGAAAATCACTTCAGCTCTATGGCACATGCCGGTGACGCGGTTCATACGAAGACTTTCTCATTGACTCTATTTTGCGAAGTTCTGACCGTTGGTATAATGTGTATTTATGTACAAGAATAATAACTGTATCTGAAAGAGGAGTAATGCTTAAATTGATGGGTTGTCTTTCTTTTCTCTGTATGCAAAGACTGCATAAAAGTAATTAGCTCATTGACACGATTTTACATGATATACAGAGAGGAGTTAGCAAGCAGGGTTGAGCGTGGGGTCAGGCGTGCCCGACCTGGGGGGTCGTACTGGGGTAAGACAGAGGGGGGGGGTCGTGATTAGGAATCGAATTCGTTCGATTGAGGAGATACTACGATTAAGGTGAAGAAGAAAAGCGCTAGTTTAGTGGATATTGCGACCTCACCAGTACTGAAGGAATGAACGGTCTTAAACAGCATACTGATTGATTCCACAATCGAAGTTTCGGCCAAAACTCAAATCTTCATCTTCTACCTTGAAATATTATAAATTCATCAAGGAAGCTTGCTGTGTGAAATGGGTATCATTTCCGAGCACGTCAAATTACCTCTATGAGCCCTACAAACCATTATTTACTGCATTATCTAGTGTTTCTCAACGACTAAAAAGCGTGATTTTCAAACATGATTAACTTGTTTTCAAAAGTGAGAAAAGTCAATTTTTTTGTACTCGTAACAAAGTATTGTTCCCTACTAGTCTAGGCTAAAAATCGCGCTTTGTATCGCTTGCAAATAGTGGAGTAAGAAATGATGCCAAAATTCCGACCGGCGCGTTTTTCTCTATGACTGCTTCAACTCCACGGATTACCACAAGGCCGAAACAAGTCGAATCAAGTCCAAACACTTACTGTGGAATCTTCGAGGGTTGTGCTAGCGATTCACATAAAACTTGAATAAAAAAGCTTCTTCAATGATAAAGTTAGTCGGGTCAGGCGCAACCCCACAATAGGTCAGGCCGCCTGAGCTTTTGAGGGGTTGCGCCTGACCCGATTAACTTGCTTTCAAAATCTAAAAATCGCTCCATTTCTGCTATGAGTATTGAACTCAAAGCCTCTTCTTGCAATACTGCATATTTGGAGCCAAACAATACCCCTCTGTGGGAATTATAGCTCTAAAAGTAGGGCTATCCAAAATCCAAAACTTGCCGTCAAGTTGCGTGTGCTGTGCAATCGCAGGAAGTCGACCTACAGACCTCCAAAAAACAAGAACCTCCCAAAAACGGCTGGTCTCTTCGAATTATCACAGCCTAGAGGTCCTAGAGGTGAAGCAGAGGGGTCGTTTAGGGGCTTTCACTGGGGGGGGGGGGGTCGTTTTGGAAAGACTTGTGCCTGACCTCTTGCTCAACCCTGTTAGCAAGATGTAAGTCCACTTCTTGTTCCTTTGCAATATTTCACTCTTTTTATCTGGACAGAACGCGACAGCAAACAATAAATGAGTAGAAGGATTAAATTTCAATTTTTCCAACTTACACTGATCTAAGCCAAAAACTTGTACATATTTCAAAAGCCTGCATTATTCTTTTCCAAACAATCAAATTCGCAGCGACTCAGCAAGGTTTTGGAAGCCACAGAAGCATGCCAGAACTTTTGTTGTGAACTAGCGAATGTACTGTCTCTGTGTTGTACAAGAAAGAATTCAAAATCCTAACTTGCCATAATCTCCGCAGAATAGGAGAAATATCACGGGTCAGATCTACCGCCAACGATACTCACTTAGTCAAAATCATTTCTCATTCTAAGTATGCACATACAGTCTCATTGGGGTTCGCTTCTCTGACATTTGTTGCGTACCAGCCTCAGACAACCGACCGGAACTTCCGCAGCGCTTTCGCAGGGTTTCCGCAGGTGACCCGGCGGAAATCCTGCAATCTCAGGGTACAGGTTTCCCGCAGTACTTGTTTGGAGTTCCGCAGCACTTTGCGTTTTTCGCATTTGATTCGCGATTCGTTTCTTCCATATCTAGCTTCCTTTTTGATAATAGGTTTTCCTTTCCAATACTAGGTTTCGCTTTTTATCAAGGCAATATTCCTTCGATGTGGAAATTCCTCTAGACTTTCTAGATGCTAAGAGACGTAGACAGCGAGATAGTTTTGGTGAGAAAGCAAATGGCACATTGTATTGTTTTATGCAGGTACCATATAGAATTACAATAGGCCGAAGTTGATAATTACAAATTGACAGATCAATGAAGTGTTCATAAATAAAATCACAGAAGCATTCGAGTGTATATGCATAACCGAATAAGATTGGAAAAAATCGGCAGATATTAAGAATTAGAAAGCAATGTTATAGTGATGGAAGAGTAAAGAATAATGGAAGAATAAGAATAAAACAAGAATAACAATCTCATCCACAAAGGATAATATGCGCTTCAAAGGGAAGATGGTCTTTGGAGAAATAAACCGTTTCCACTTATAGGGTGTCATTTTGACCTTGTCCGCGCGACTGAAGCCGGCCGGCTTCGGTCTCCCTTCCTTTCTATAATGAGAATTAATCAAAATTTCTTGATGTAAATGTGCCTTGCCGCAAGTGTTCCACTTTCCAACTTCTTCGCAAAGAAATACGGAGCAAATGTGGAATTCATTTAAAATTTTCGGAAATTTTGAAATCTCAACAAGAGAAGCTCTGAAAAAGATTTGAAGATTACAAGAGTTTTCTGCAAAAACCAAGGCTTTACTTCGACTTGAATTTTTTCGGAATGTTCGAATTTAAAGCGATAGAACTTTTGTTTTATAATAAAACAGGTATGTGTCAGACTCTAAGGCAGGTATGTGTAAGTGATAGTTATTATAAATTATTGTTGAATTTTTATAAATCAATACTTAGAAAATAATATTAAATTGGTGCAAAAATAATAAGCGTTTTCCCATTTTTCACTTTAACTTGCTATAACTTTTCGTAAAATCTACACTTTGAAATGTGATAAGGACCATCAAATGCAGCAAGCCTTTCCCAGTTCAGCGCACATTGAGCTATACTCATATCTCATATGGGCAGAAGAATATGGATTGAAAAACAAAAAAAACTTTTTTTCTGAAGTCTTGTTTTTGACAAAACATAACTCCTTTCACACTTTGTTATTATAATTTCTAAGCAGCCTATCTTGAAGCCGCAAGCCAGAAGTACAAAAACACATGGAAAGGACTTGGAGAAAAAAAGATTAGCGAAGAGGGAAAAATCGGAATTCAAAAATATCAACTTTTTCAGCATTTTTTCAGTAGGCCTCAAAACCCCGAAGTATAGAATTTTCTAATTTTCTGCGTACTGAACAGCTGGATGTTTTTGCAAAAAATGCTAATAGGATTTCTACCCTCACGCTTACAGAGATGAGCAAAGTTTGAGCGACTGCATTCTACTAGAGAAAGTTATGGGCACTAAAATGATCACAACCATTACCCATCTTAAGCCGCCGATATCTCACTTTAGGTAACTTCAAAAAATATGGCTAAGTATGCATAATTTCCATTACATATAGAGGCTATATTTTCGATCAACCATCTTCATTTGCGCTCAAATTCAAGCCAGGAGAATGAATGCAACGAAAATCTGGTTTTGAGTGCGATTATTTAAAGCTCTATAAATTCTTAACAGAGTAAGCCATAAGTCCCTTTCGAACATAATTAGATAGAGCATGAAAAGAGCTTTCTAACAATGTGCGAAATCTTTACAAAGAAAGAAGTTTGAAGGAGAAAAGTTGTCCTGAAAAAAGTTCTTAGAGAACGCTCATTATTTTTGCACCAACTTAATACTAATAAACCAAAAGCTCGTCGCCATCCTTTTCAAAACATTCGAAAATTTCTTCCTTCACATCCGATCTGCGCATGTTTATTTTGAAGGAAGACATGCTCTTTCTAATGGTACCTGAGGCACTTTTTGATATCCAGAGATCGAAGTCGGTGAAGAAAATCACTCCATTTTAATGTTCCCCATGTTTGGTCGCAAAAATCTGCTTGCAGAAAATCGGAGCAGTCGGTAACATAGCTATTATTACCTACTCTTTTTGAGTTTACAAAGATTACGCTGATTGAACGTCTCTGAAAAAGTTATGGTATTTGAGGAAGCCGTAAAAAAGAGTGAATATGGTTTTTTGACATTTGCTTCGAAAATCATAACTTTTCATAAAGAGGTTCAATGAGCGCAAGCTTGGCACATTCAGAAAGAGCAGGCTATGAAAACTATAACGCTCCAATTTCCGTTGCGAATTTCAGTTTTGCAACCAAACGCAAAAATTTTTAGAATGGAGAATTTTCTTCTCCGGCTTTTATCTCTAAAGCTTGCTTCCATCATAAGGTACTTCAGGTAGGTACTATTGGAAACATCAATTCCAAAATAAACATGCGCGGATCTCTGAAGATGTGTGAAATATTTGGAAGAGAGAAAATCATTTAAAACAGCAAGAACAGAGGAGTAGAGAAGGATAGATACATTAAAGCAGTGGCGGTGCAAGAAACTTTTTCAAGGGGGGGGGACAAAAAACTATTTAGGTTTGTGAGCGGAAGCCACCGAACAAAGGGAAATTCAGGAATGGCTGAATTTTTGTAATTCCAGTTTTTGTACGCCCTCGCTTTTTTAGCAAAAGGGGGCGTGGATGAGCCAGCCATACCTTCGAAAATTGCCTAGACAAACTACTTTAGAGTTTAGAAGAGCTTTCATCCTCCATTATCTACAGTCGCCTACTATGAATATTCTTGAGACCCATCATGCCCCGCCCCTTTCTTTTGATATATTTCTACTACATTATTTCTATTTTATTTAATTATTCGACACTATTATTTGAAAATTCTAATTTCGAATTTGTCGATGTTATTTTGAAGCGTAAGTTTCGAATTTTTTTATCTTTAAATCAGAATTATTATTTTGTGATGTGTGC